CAAAGGGGGACGAGGAGGAGATGGTGGTGGCAGGGTTCAGATCACCTATGCAACACAACAGGGAAGGGAATCTGACAGTTGAGGCCTAAATCTATGTTTCCGTGTGAAGATTGACGAAAGGTTGACTGACATCTCTACACTCTTGGTTCAGAAGCGTGAGATGGAAAGACTTTAAGATGGACAATACAATCAAGAGGAAAATATGTGTACTTTTATTTATTCAGTTTTCAGTGGATATGGAAACAGTTAAGGAGGAATATATTTGGAAGACGAGTTATGTGTGTGTGTGTGTGTGTGTGTGTGTGTGTGTGTGTGTGTGTGTGTGTGTCTATCTATAATAATAAAATAATCTGTGTGTACGTATGTGTATGCGTGTATGTATGTGAGTATGCATGATTTTGTGTGTATCAGTGTGTAAATGTGTGTGTGTGTGTGTGTGTGTGTGTGTGTGTTTGTGTGTGTATCAGTGTGTAAATGTGTGTGTGTGTGTGTGTGTGTGGTAGATAACCTCCAGGCTGCCACAACACGGGCTCTCTGGAGTAAGACTGTCGACTGCTATATTGATTTTTCAACTGGAAATGTAAGTGGGGGGTGAGGGTAAGGAGGAGGAGGAGGGAGATGGGTGGAGAAGGAGAGGGAGGGAGGGAAGGAGGGAGATGAGTGGAAGAGGAGAGTCAGGGAGATGAGTGGAAGAAGAGGAAGAGAAGGGATATGGGAGGAAGAGGGAGGGAGAGAAGGAGGGATATGGGAGGAAGAGGGGATGAGTTTGGGAGGGGAGAAGGGAAAGGGGTTGGTGTGGAAGAGGATGGAGAGAAGGGGAAGAGAGGAGTGGATAAGGAGATGTGGATGAATGGAATGACATATGTGTACAAAAATGTGTGTGTGTGTGTGTGTGTGTGTGTGCTTCTACATATTATAAAGTGGTACGTTAATGCCCTCTGTTGGCTGTGTGCGCTGTGTGAGTTTGTGGCGCATTAATCACCTGTGAGCATCGTGTAGACTGTGCCTTCGAGATAGCCATGTTAATATTGGTATTATTATTGACTCTGTATCTGTGTTTTTCTGGCTAAATAAACTGTTTCAATATCAATATCATGTGCGGGGTTACTGGGGAAAGAAGATTGCGCAGTGTGATATAAATTATCTGCAGTGTGCGCATTTTGTAAAGTGATGTATTTGTAGACTGCGCAATATTTAAAATAGCGCATCTAGAGATAATAGTCTTTAAAGTCACGAATTTGTCGAGTGCGCAAGCATTATATACCGTATCTGTAGACTGCGCAGTAGATAAACTTATGTATGCGTTGTGCGCAGTGTTTAAAGTTACCTGTATATTGTCGCTGTGTGTAAAGTCAAGAAAGAGCGCAGTGTATGAAAGATAATATTGATATAAAGACTGCGCATTTTCAAAACGTAGATAACTGAGTGCATAAGGTCGACGTGCGCGCGCGTGCGTGTGTGTGTGTGTGTGTGTGTTTTGGAAGATGGGTAACTAAGGAAATGAGGCAGCATGGTGTGTGTGTGTGTGTGTGTGTGTGTGAAGGGCGGAGCGTTGTGTAAATAGGTCCACGTCTTTTACCGAGGATGTTGACACGCCATCCTCACCCGCGCTGCTCCCATCGTGAAAATTGCCCTCAACTCCCTAATCCTTAAATTTTGGAGGGATTTTTTATTTTTATTTTTGACTCGTGTGATCTAAGTTATTATCATTATTTATTATTATTTGTTTTTGTTTCGTTTGGCTTTACTTTATTATTTTTGTTTTATCTTATACTTTCATCTATTCTTAAATTTGGATTATTTTATATTTTTGTCTCATTTATTATTATTATTATTATTATTATTATTATTATTATTATTTATCTTCTTAATTATCCTGTATTATTTCCTTATTTTTTTTCTCGTTATTATTTTACTTATTCTTTTATTTTTATCTTATTTTTTGTTTTGTTTTATCTAGTTTGATTAAATTCCTTTTCGTCTTAATCAGTGCACACACACACACATACACACACACACACCTTCAAGAATACCAAGGGTGTACAGGTTATATTTTGTTATTGTTCTAAATTCTGTCCATATCTACGGACGTACGGACATGAACTACCCTAAACTCACCGTCCGTTGTTACTCCAGGACTTAGTTGTTCCCGACACCCGCCATGAGTTCCCGCGGTCACTCATTTATTGTCAGCGCCAGCCACTCATTGGTCACTTCGTTAGTACTTTTATTTCCCGATGGCAGACATTTATTTTTCGGGATCGTAGACATTTATTACCAACTCCAGATATTTATTATCAACGCCAGACACTTCTTCTCAACGCCAGGCATATATTCCCAACGCCAGACATTCATTCTCAACGCCAGACACTTCTTCTTAACGCCACACATATATTCCCAACGCCAGACATTCATTCTCAACTCCAGCACACTTCTCAACGCCACATTCATTCTCAACGCCAGACACTTCTTCTTAACGCCACACATATATTCCCAACGCCAGACATTCATTCTCAACTCCAGCACACTTCTCAACGCCACTCATTCTCAACGCCAGACACTCATTCTCAACGCCAGACTCATTCTAGACTCCCAAATAAATTAATCCGATCACTCATCCATGAAGACAGAGACGCATCCATAACCACAGCCTCCACGATCAACCACAGCCTCCACGGCCAACCACAGCCTCCACGATCAACCACAGTAACCATTCCCGATCACCTGCGACAGTAACTACCCGCTGACACCTCTCTCCCTCTCCCCCTTCCCTCTCTTTCTCCCACCCACCCTCCCTCTCTCTCCCCTACCCTCCCTCTCTCTCTCACCTCACCTCCCTCCCATCCCTCACCTCCCGTCTCTCCACACCTCACCCTCAGTAATCATCTTCCTCGCACTTACTATCACCTTAATTACCCCCCTTTGTCCAGGTGTTAACTCCATCGTGTTTACCTGATGATGATTTTCTTGTGCGTACTGGAGTGTTTGTTTACCTGCATTGAAAATTTTATATGTTGAGCCGTTTGTAAATTTGTATGGCTGTTTTATTGAATATCTATCTGTCTAATTCTGTCTATATATCTCTCTATCTATCAATTTATCTATCTTTTCTATCTATCTGTCTGTCTGTCTGTCTGTCTAATCGACCAAGTTGTTATTCCCAGCAACCTAAAATAACTACACATCTACCACAGTTGATTGGTATCTGTTTCTTCCTCGTGTATCATGTGTCAACTACGTGTCCCCAAATTACTGCGGTGATACATTAACTTATGACCGTGTCCCCGCCCCTCACAACACACACACACACACACACTCACCTGACGGACATAATGCAAGCAACATCTCGTATACCTGTTTGGAGACTAATGATTACGTTTCCGACGCGAGTACATTGACGCTCAGGTGTTTTAGAGGAGTAAATGATACCATGACAGAGCAGAGCTGCTGACAAATGAAACGCCCACAGTTAATGTTCAATGAATGGAGGTTATAGTTGTACTACTACTTCTACTACTACTACTACTACTACTAAATAATAATAATAATAATAATAATAATAATAATAATAATAATAATAATAATTCAAAGGGCGAGCTGTGGTGATGTAGACAGGCTCCTGCAGCAGTGTTGTATCGCCAGTCGTCATCTACAGTCGTAAGCAAGAAATCGTGCTTCATCAGGGGAAGTTTTATCCAACAGACGCTGTCCAGTCCTACTAGTATAAACAGCGCTGGGCGACGCTTACACCACCCTGGGGGATTGTTATCACAGACACAACACTAAGGGACAGTCGTCAACTGCTGGTGGTGTGTGCTGACGCTAGGCTGACTCATAACACAGTAACACTTGTATCTGGTGAGTGTAGTGGTGGGTGACTGTAGCCGCCACACCCGCCGGCAACACCTGCCCGACAACATCGTATTTTACACCTGGTTTATTTCTCTCCTTAGTTGATTGTTATATGAGACACCCGCACGCGACCGCATATAAATACATGCGTGCAAAATTACATGCATGCATGCACACACTCGCGCGCTCAAACTCAGGCATGCACATCTACTGTGTACACTTATACATGCACACGCTCTACCAGCCACAGGATGCACAATAAACTAGCCGCTCTGGGGCAAAACTAAACTTAGACATGCAAGCACTTAACTGCACACACACTCACGCATGCAAATGTAAACACACACACACACACACACTTAATATAAATAAATGACTCATGAAACAAATACAACAAACACAGGACACCAAATAACAAATAGAATAACAAGTGAAATCTTAACTGGACAGCGATATAAATAAATAATAATGAAAGGAATGTGTTTATATACTTGAGGCAAACATTTTAATAGGTTACAGCGAGATACTTGGGAGGACAATAATAACCCGTGAAAAAAAAATTGTCATTCCTTTTTACTTTGATTAACCGAACAAGTCAGACCACATCAACATTCCTTTGCTCGGATAATACAAAAAATAAACACGACTAGAAACTCCTACTTTATCGCATATATAAATCGATTGACAACGCATGTTCGGATACAATTTAAAATCGAGTGTCCGGATAATACTAGTGAATCACGCATTGTTTATACCCAACTGTCCGGAAGAGAGAGAGAGAGAGAGAGAGAGAGAGAGAGAGAGAGAGAGAGATAACTTTACTCTTGGTCCGATCAGTAGTAGAGTTGTAGTCAGGAGCTACTTCTTGATTCTTATCCTCCAAAGAAACCAGAGAGAGAGAGAGAGAGAGAGAGAGAGAGAGAGAGAGAGAGAAATCAACGTGGTGATGATAATTGGTGATGCCGTGGTGACTAAGAAGAATAGAAGGAGGAAGAGGAGCAGGATATATAATATTAACTCCATACACAGGCAATATAAACTCTCTTCCTCTCCTTGCTCCTCATTCTTGCCTCACTCCCTTTAGACATTACCCCCCCTCTTCTCCCTCACCCTCCAGAGACACCAGTTAGAGACCAGAGACCACTTGCCTTGCTCGGTCGTTATCTTGCCATGGGGGAAGTTTGAGCTGGTGATGAGAAGGAGGTGCTGCCCATTATTTTTTTCTGAAAAGAGCCATAACTTTATTAAAGGGCAACAGCAGCTTTAGGGCAATTATTTATGCAGCTGAGGGCATTTTTTGTTTTGACGCGGCTGAAGGCCCTTTGTTTTTAAGCAGCTGAAGGCCCTTTGTTTATAAGCAGCTGAAGGCCGTTTGTTTTTAAGCAGCTGAAGGCACTTTGTTTATAAGCAGCTGAAGGCCCTTGTTTAAGCAGCTGAAGGCCATTACTTTTTGTTTTGCATCTGAAGTCAACAGTTTACGTCGCTTATGGCAACATTTTCCTTAGCTGAAGGTAAATTTTGAATGTAAAATAGTTGTAAATTTATACCACCAACGCCAATATTATAATTTAGTTATGGGCAACAAGTTATCCAGTTACATATAATTGTTGAGCCAAATTTTAATGGCATTTCTAAACAGCTTTGTGCGGCTGATCATATTTTTCAGCGACTTTAAGAAGTATGTTATTATTTTAGTTTTTTGGAAATGGTAGACTCGTCTTTCTTATATTGATTAAGTAATATTTTAAAGGGATAAATGATTCGCTTTTTCAGTTTGAGCTTTTAGGCCAAAATTTACTGGTAAAGACATTCTGTTCTTTTTTTGGTACATTAAGTTGTTCTGATACGCAACACAAAATTTTTCACAACATGCATCACGAAATAACATGGTCTCTTGACAGTTTTTTTTTTAATGAATCAATTTTGTTTTACTTTTATTTTCTCAGATATAAGAAAATGTTATGATTATTGGGCGAGTGAAGAGCACCCGACCTTCTGGCTCCTGTAGACCCGCCCCCCCCTCCCCTCCCCGTGGAATACTAAGTGGCAGCCCTCCTTCACAGTCACCATAATCACCATCACCAAGTGTACCACAATAAACCATTAAGCCACAACCACCACCAAAAGAACCATTTACCACCACCACAAGCCACCAACACCTTTGATCAGGATAATAATAATAATAACAACTTCAACCTTAATAATAATTGTATCTAATATAAAATATTTTTAACAAGGTGTAATAATACTAAGAAAAAAAAAACCCCAGTGAGGAATTGCATACACACATCACCACGAAGATAATTATAAGAAAAAACTAGAAGAGAACTCACCTCTTGTCTCCCAGTGCGGTCTCGAGCTCTTCCTCGGTATATGAGTCTAGGTAGCTTACTTAGTTGGTATTTACTTACGTTTTAAGATGTGTACTGCTATTATAATGCCTCAGCGACCACTCAAACCCGTCCAGTAGGGTCTTGGGTCTTTTTTATTTGTTATTTATTTTTAGCTTATCGCTCATATCACTATCGCTATCATTATCAACATCATCGCTTGCTATAATTATATTCGGTCTCCTTCAGTATTGATAAACAACTTTCTTCTCTAATTCTCATTGTTATGTTCGGTGTTATTGTTGTTATATTAACCATTATTATGTATCTTTATCATTGTTATTATTGTACCTTTCTTCTGGTTCTTCACCTGTCTTCATTATCTTTCATTTGTGTTATCTTCTTCGGGGTTATTATTACCTTAAAGTTATCATATTGGTGTACTTATTATTCCCTGTCTGTCTCTCTCTCTCTCTCTCTCTCTCTTCACGGTTCGTACATTAATTATGTTTACGTTTAAGTAATTGGCAGTTGAGTCGCGCGTGTTAGGTTTTTTTTTCGCGCGTGTTTTGGTTAACTCTCCCGCGCGTTTTGTGATTTTTTTCCCAGGTAAATATTGTTAACCTTCATGAGCAACACTGCAGCTAGGGCTAGTTTGATACCTTGTCATAACTTGGCAGTTTCACCCGTAAAATTATTCTCTCTCTCTCTCTCTCTCTCTCTCTCTCTCTCTCTCTCTCTCTCTCTCGGAAAACTTGTAACTTCCTGTGTTACCGCGCAGTTTATCCTCCTCTCTTACATTCAATAGCACATTATCTCAGTTTTTTTGCGTGGTTATTAGGTTCTTAAAATATGTTGGCTGTATTACTGTGAGTGTTTACCCTGGCGCGAGATGTTGTGTTGTGAAGCATCACTCCCTCACAACTTGGGTATTTACTGGGTAAGAAAATGTTATATTGACTTAAAACATTTCTTAATGCTTGAAAAAAAGAGCTTTGATTATCATAACTGTATATCATGTAAACAGACAGCGACAATGATTATCTTAGGTGCGTCTTAAAGATGTATTCTTCATTATTCAATGTCAAATTTTTTCTCCCAAAATTCTATCAACAAGACGGACATGACAGTAATCATTCCGGTCGTTTACTTAACGCTAACGTGTCCTCTAGCCACCAGCGTGTAATGAATGACAGAGGCGCAGATAACCGTCTTCTGGACTGGTCTTGCGCCATCACTAAGAGGCGCGAACTTGTCTGACAAATACGAAACGCCTCCAATAAAATTAGCATAGTTGCTGAAGGCGGACCTGGGGGCTGGGGTGGCGACTCTACTCCACCTCACCCTAGCGGCTCCACCACTCCTCGCCTCCTGATCACTACCATCCTTAATTATCGTTAGCTTGTGATGTATCTGTTAAACGAGGCGGTGCTATAATTGATAGTCGCTTATGGCCGAATATTCCCCCTTCTCCCCTGGACCCCCCCTCCCCTCCCTAGAGTCGTCGGGTAACGTGGATAGGATGCAAAGTGGTTGATTTATGAGGGACGCAGTACAGGTCTGGTGGACTGCCTCCCTCCCTCACACCACTAGTATAATTCCTCTACTCACAGGCAATATAATAGTCTTAATAACAGCAGTGTGTCCCTCCCCAGCTCCCCCTCATCCGTCACAACACAGCTACACTCGTGGACGCAATTTGTCAAGGACTGGCCAATTTGCAGAGCAACACTGGGCCGGCCACCACCGTTCTGCCCGGGACCTGCTCACTCACCCTTTCTCATAAATCAACTTTAAAACCTCTTTTTTCGTTTTCACATAATCTATCGTTATTATTAAAGTCTATAACACTTCAAGGTTATCGTGATGACAGAACATCTCTCATAATTCGTGACTCTGTGAATTAGTGTGTATGGATGGTTAGTTTTACTGTGTTTGTAGTGGGGGGCCGGAGGTGTCGCCAGCCCCTCCTTGTCGTCAGTCATCGCTTCCTTTACATCCTCTTCCTCCTCGAATTATTAATCTTTGTCAAGGTCTATCTCCTGGATACACTTACACACAAATTAAAGATAATCTATATAAACATGTAAAAAAAAAACTTGGACACGCTCACGTTTACTCTTTAATACACATGATCGACTCACACACACACACATACACATCACAGCCTTGTTAAGTCACTCGTCATGTTTATTGTTCGTAGTTCACACACGTGATCCCCCCTGACGTTAAACTATTGATAACTGTAATAAACAACGTAGTGTAAATAATAACGTAACTCTAACGATTAATGACGCGAGAGTTACTGGCTGGCTGGCTGGACCGGGGGCGAACTGGTCGACTCACCTCCTCTGGTCAACAATCTACCAAGACCGACCCGAGTTTTTGTAGCAGAGTTAATAATCGGACGCGCGATGTAATGACGTACTTGATTAAAATTTATTAAAGAGTTTAGCCCAGTGGATACGTTTGAGTGACACCTTTGGTAGTGTTAAGGTTTAGCCCTGCGGTCACTCGTTCAGCAGGTAGTTAGTGGGATTTGATACAACCGCAGGTGAGGTTCGTGTGTGTGTGTGTGTGTGTGTGTGTGTGTGTGTGTGTGTGTGTTTTTTGCCTCGCCGAAGATGGACTGGTTGACCGGCAGTTTTTCCGCGATATGCTGAGATCATGACCACCTTGCACATGATCTTGAAACTTGTTGATTGTACATTCCTTTTGTGCAGCTTTTCCAGTACTCTGTGCAGTAATAAATATTTCAAGGATTGGAGTCTCATAGGTCTTATTAAAATATGTTCCCTCGAGTACTTTATGCATTTTTGGTAACGTTTGTATATATTTTGTAGTGGTCATTTTAAGCCATAAAGTTTTCATAAGAAACTATTTTCCTACTGTCACTTATGTCAGAAGAATCTTAAGAGGCGCATGAGTTTTTTTTTTTCGTCCAGAGTGGCTGTGTAGCTCATGTGCATGAGTTGGTGTGGTGTGTCATGGTATAGTGACACTGAACTAGACACTCTTATGTCAGGTATGTGTGTCATTATACCAGGCACCATCACACCAAGTATTGCATGGCACTGCACGAGAACTACCATGCTAGTTGGGGATGTCACTACACTTGGCACTGTCATTCTAAGACATGTATGACACTACACCAGGCACTGTAATACAGGTTTGTGTGTTACACGAGGAAGTATCTCCTGCGCGGACACTACGTGACTGAGCGTGACGACAATGTGCGCTACTGATACAACACAAGTGTTACAGGAATGTCACAGGTGGGAAGTCACACTCACCTTCTCTCCTCATGCCGACTTTGAAGCATTTCTTGAGTCTACAGTACTGACACTGGTTACGGTGATGCTGGTCGATGGGACAGTTGCGGTTTCCTCTGCATGAGTACTGCAGGTTCCGCCGCACCGACCGCTTGAAGAAGCTCTTGCAGCCTGCGGGGGAGGACGGCGTTAATAGTGTGGCACAGGGGGGCACCGCGGCGGACGAGGGGTCAGCAGGCAGTGACACACCTCCTCCACCAGGCAAGAGGGAGGATGGGTTTATGTTTCAATAATAATATTATCACAAAAATAAGTAAAGTCCAAATTACAAGGAATTATCAATACATGTCGGGGAGGACACCATGCGTGGGGCCACTGTGACCCCAGGTAACGGTGGCCCGTGACCTGGGGTCACAGTGGCCCGTAGACATGAGACAGGAGTCAGCCGCCCGGGCCTCCCGTGCGGGGTAGCCCGGGCGGCATGGCCCCGGGCGTGGGCGGGCCGTGGGTGGTGCGTACCTTCACAGGTGAATTGGCCATAGTGTTTCCCTGAGCTCTTGTCGCTGCACACGACACACGTCATGTTCTGGGCGTTCTTGTCGTCGCCTGTAGGGCTGGGCGCCGAGGAGGGCGCGCTGCCCGCCGTGGAATTAGGTGTGGGCGTCTGTGGGGCGGCGGGCTGTGGGGTGACGCTGGCACCCAGTTCCCGGGTGACGTCCTCCCCCGTGGTGGGGGGCAGGGACACGGGCGGGTCGCGCCACGTGGGCCCCGGGGGCACTACTAGAGCCATCTTATCGTGGCACTGTTCTGGCACAAACATTGACAACCACCTCCGCCAGGGGTGGAACACAAGTTATAACTTTACACTCCTGGGCACCGCCAGTTTGGCATGATCACTGGCACACTAGGCTATAATCCACTGTGGCACTGGAGGAGATGGACATGTGGGTATTATCCTGATATGGCGGTGCTACCTGTCACACGGGTATAGCGGGGCCACCTATCAGGCGGGTGATAGCGGGGGTGACCTGTCAGGCAGGCTAACACTGAGGGGTGAGGGGCGCGCGTCACACACCCTGCGTGGAGCACTGTGCTGTGTACACTGGGCGAGCGGCGCTGCGGCCCGGCGGGCGGAGGGCGGGGACGGGCCGTGCGGGGCAGGGGGCGGGCCACCAGGCCACGGGGCCGCGACCCCGCCCGCCCCGGACACCCATTGGTCGTCACCCGACAGTCACATCAAACACTGATGCCGCCGTTACTTTCTTATGAGATAGTTGTATAATGTTGTAGAAATAGTGACTTTATGTTATCTACACTACAACTAACAAACACAAACTCTCTCTCTAATAATATATAAACTAAAACGTGAAAATAAGTTGACGGCAAAAGGCGGCAAGGTTGATCAGTGTCCGGTGGCGGGGCGGCCTCTGGTTGGCGGGTCGTGAGGGCGCTGAACCAATGAGCGCTCGGGGCGGGGCGGGGCCAACTACTACATATTGCAACTCTCGCAAGAAAAAATACTTTTTAGTATAATTAAGCATCTAAACATTACTTCAGTTTACTGTTTAACATTAACAACCTGACAACTATCTCACAAACTACAATTGTGTTTGTTTACACAAAGTAAATTAATTAAGAGGAATTATTTAAGGTAATGAGGTATGGCAGATAGCGTCAGGGTTCGGGGTCTGGACGTCTGAACCCCGCGCTGCTGGTGTGCGAGTGAGAAAGTCGGTGTGAGAGGCCTACCAGTGACACGAGGTTCCGGAACGCTCTCCGCACTCTAGCTAATTACATAATTTTACACCCTCACCTTCACACTCACGCAGCACACCTTACCTTCCACCACACACTAATAATAAACCAACACACTTTTACAGAATATATTGCTTTTGGGACTTTTAACATAAAACACTTCCCACATATAGCTGCTAGTAAGTCTTAGATCAATAAATTCTTAGAAGGAAAAGGGGGAAATAATAAGCAGAGATACGGTATAAAAAAAGGTACCCTGACGGAGATACCACAATAGCGACCTTCACATAAACACACTTCAAAGCAGATTCATCGAGCAAGTTGCAAGATTTATTACAGTGTGGGAACAAAGCCTCCTGTTCTTTTACGGAGCCCAGCCACCACCGACACCTCACTAACTCTCCACTAACTCTCCACTAACTCTCCATAATAAAACCATTTAATGGGTGTCACTTCTAAAGCATCGTCTACCTCCATTAAATTTCTTGAGCTTGTCTTGGTGTCAGTTTTCTACTAAAGAATGTTATATTTATTGTGTGTGTGTGTGTGTGTGTGTGTGTGTGTGTGTGTGTGTGTGTGTGACGACTACACTCTTCAGGTCACACTGCAGCTGCTGGTAGTGGTGGTGATGGTTACGATAGTAGTGGTGGTAATGATGGAGATTGTGGTAGTTGAAATTGTAATTGTGGTGATGGGAGTGGTGGTTGTTATAGTAGCCATGGAAGTTATAATGAGGGTGGTTGTTGTTGTGATGGGAATAGTGATTGTTGTTGTGGATAAAAGTGAGTTGTGGTCGTGGTGGTAGCAAGAGAGTCGTAGTAGTAGTAGTAGTAGTAGTAGTAGTAGTAGTAGTGTGACATCACCTTCAATACCGCACACACACATATATATATATATATATATATATATCAAGTCACTTATATACTTTTAACATCTCCATATTTACATGCAATTATGCTATATTATATTGAATAAATAGGAGTTTGTTGTGTGGTCGTAGTTTATGATCGGTCGCTACACAAACCCACACACACATATACTGTACACGTATACAAACGCTGACACATACATATGCATACACGCACAACCTATACACACACATACACCTACGCAGTTGAACATAAACTCCTGCAAAGACACACACACACACACACACACACATAAGTGCGCACGCAGCTCGCCACCACATCCGTTCGGAACACATTGTTGTACACACTTGTGGGATTGGCCAGTCTGGAGGGGAGGAGGGAGGTTGGGAATGATGTAGGATTGGACGTGACTAACTAGCCAGTGTATTTTTAGATTGGACGTAAGGTGAGGTTGTGTGTGTGTGTGTGTGTGTGTGTGTGTGTGTGTGTGTGTGTGTGTGTGTGTGTGTGTGTGATATCCTTAGTTTGGTATAGAAGCTGAGGGTGATTCAGAAATATAATGGCGGTTGTAGTTGTCAGGTTAAAGTTATGAGAATGCATTGATGGAGTCATATGTTATAGAATATTTATTTGGTTACACATTTGGGGTTGTATTTATGGAGTTAAAATTATGGGGTTATATATATATGGGGGGGGTTGTGATTTTAGAGTTGTATTTATGGGGTTATAATCACGGAGTTGTATTTATGGGGTTAAAATCACGGGGTTTCTTAATTACATATATAACAACCTTATATTTTTTAATTATTTCTTTTCTATTTCAGACTTGGAGCGAAAATAAGGCTTAGAATTTAATGGTGATTTTGGGTAAGTACAAAATCCCATTCTTTGAGATTTTCCAATTTTGTTGGGAATTTTGCCTATTTTATATAAGAATTGTAGAGAGACAATACGAACGACACGGAAGAGATAGGTTCGTATAGGCCTATGTACCTATGGGGGTTATAGGCCTATGGGTTTTGTATGTTGTGTTAAGGATTATATTTCGTTTAAGTCTACGTACGTCATGGGTCATGGCTATGGGTTTATAATGATGAGTTAATGGGTTTATAATGGTGGGTTATTTTTGTGGGTTTATAATGATGGGTTAATGGGTTTATAATGATGTTTTATGGCTATGGGTTTTTAATGATGTGTTATGGCTATGGGTCTATAATGATGGGTTAATGGCTATGGGTTTATAATGATGGGTTAATGGCTATGGGTTTATAATGATGGGTTAATGGCTATGGGTTTATAATGATGGGTCAATGGCTATGGGTTTACAATGATGGGTTAATTGCTATGGGTTTATAATGATGGGTTTTAAAATAATGAAGTTATGGCTATATGTTTATCGTAACCATACTCTGGATTACACCTGTATCATGGATTACACCTGTACCGTTAATTACACCTGCGTTCTGGATTACCTGGATTGCACAGCAACATCTCTATGATGAAAAAAGGTGTTCAGGGGATTGATGGCCAACAGTGAAGAACATAACAGAGAGGTTACATGTGTGTTGTGCATCGAGCCACGCATAGGGCCCATAAGTGTCTGGGATTTAACATGTGTTCGTAGGGATTATATGTGAGCAAGCGAGTAGAAATCCCCCCAGGAGATTAAAGGATTATATTTTTTATATATATTTTTTGTGGGGGGGGGGGGGTGATTTTAGGTCGCTGTGATGTTGCTCGGTTCTTCGAGGAGGAGTTTTTCATTGAGTCCGGTTCTTCGAGGAGGAGGTATTCACTGAGTCCTGTTCTTAGCGGGTAATAAGAAAGTTCTCATAATCACTAAGGAGGTTCACTTTATCCCGGTTCTCCCAGTTCTCTCGGTTCTCCTGGAGGTTGGTTCTAGTGCCAAATATATATATCGGGTTGGATGTGAGTCTTGAGCGAGGGGAAAGGTTACACACACACACACACACACACACACACACACCTCAAATGTCAACAATCCATCTTGAATGAAGGAGACATTAAGCTTTTATCTAACATGCTGAGTGATAGGCAGGTATTGAGATTACCTGAGGAAGGATGATGAAGGTACCTGGGGGATGATGTAGAGAATATAGAGCCACAGTCACCGTCTCTAAACCTTTGTGATATAGAGACGAATTTCCTTAGGACTATAGAAAATTATATTGAGGTTTCATGATTTTTTTTACTTAGAAATAAAGTCATTTGTATCTTAATAAAAAGCTTTTGAGTTCTTCTAATATTTGTTGTTTATAAGAGAATTTATTTGGAATTAACAAAGATTTGTTGAGGTTATTTAAAGGAATTTGATTTAGAATTAGAATTATTTAATGGTGTGGAGTATTAGGGGTTTGCGGACTATGACGGACTACTGTATAATCATGAGTTCCTAGTTATATGTGGATTTACGAGGTATATACTTTGCTAATATATCCACATATAGAATGATATACCATTTACAAATACACTAACAATTGCTCACAGACTAATAGTGGGATTGATATAGGATTACGGATTACTAAGGATTACAATGGATTCATATACTATTTTATAAGTTGTTACGTATATGTTTTAATGATTACTCACAGTATGATGGGCGATTTACTCTGGATTTCCGGCTTAATGTGGATTTATGAATCGCCATCATGTTCAAACTTTATAGATATGTATTTGTCATGTTTTTAATGATGATGATGATGATGACGATGATGATGATGATGATGATGATGATGATGATAATGACGATGATGATGATGACGATGATGACAGTACATGACACAGTTGACTGGCTTCCCTCCCTCTCTAGTTCCTCTTTCCCCTCTTCCATCCTTTCCATCTCTCCACTTCCTCCTAAATTCCCCTCCCCTTTCCCGTTCTCTCTCTCTCTCTCTCTCTCTCTCTCTCTCTCTCCCTCTCTTTTCCCCTTTTCCCTATATATCAATCCCATCCCCTCCCTCTCTTTTTCTTTCTTTCTATCTCCTTCCCTTTTTCTCCCTCTCTCCCTCCTTTCCTCTCCACTTCTCTCCCCTCTCCTATCACCCACTTCCTCTCATTTCCTCACCTTCTTCGCCCTTTCCTTTCCTTCATTATCTGTCTTCTCTTCCACCATTCCCCTCCCCTTCCTTTCCCCTTTCCTCCCTTCCATATCCCTCCCTCTCTCCCCTCTACCCATACAGTGAGAGCACACACACACACACCACAGGAAGTACACCAATACCCCTCTCCTCATCCCACCCACCCACCCACCCACCCACCCACCGCCCACCACCCTCCCTCCCTTCCTTCCTTCCCCATCTCATTTAAGGATTAAATTCAGAACCCTGACTGGGATCTATGTGTGTTTCCGCCATGAAAGCACACACACACACACACACACACACACACACACACACACACACACACACACGTCCTGTAATTCTGTATATAACGTTACTGATGCGGAGAACCATATACG